AGGTACACCCACAATCGCTCGCGCGGCCACGTTCTGGACCAGTTGAAGTCTCTGAATGCTCTTCAAGGGCTGCCCCATGTAGAGTGTATTGCAGCTCAAGAGCTGTTTCATTTTTGTCATTGTATCTGTCTCTGGAATGAAATCCTTCCAGAGATCTTCTCACTCTAATAATATCTTTATAAATAGAACTATTTTCCCAGTGCTTTGAATCAGCCTTTAGTCAGTGAATCTTTATGTGTTGGTGGTTGGCAATTTCTCCAAATGACTTAAAATATTTTTAATGAATTTAAGATTAAGAAAAGATGTGGATTAAATGAAGGAATGGCAGAATTTCCAAAAATATATAAGAGGAAGAAGGGACAATAAAACTATAATATCTGTTTAAAAGATCAGAAGTCATTTATATTTTTTAAACTTTGTTCCTTTTATTTTTCTTGCACTTTTTTTTACTTTTTTCCTTACTTTTGATTTGCATTTTTTATATGAAAATTTATAATAAATATAAATAAAAAAGAGGGGGAGAGCAAAAGATTGTGAATATAGTGCAATATTTCATGTAATGAAGAAATATTTGAGATGGAATTTGTCTAGCTTTTAATTTTAAATTGCTATTCATTGCAAGATGTCCCTTTTTTATGCTTAATTTTATGTAATTTTGATTGTAATCAAAACTTACTTTTGAACTGGGTAAGAAAGTCTAAACAAAAGACCTCCAATAGAATGACTGGAATGATCATATGATCATATTATTGGGATAAAACTGGAGTGAAGGAATGCCACACAATAGAGATTCGTGTAGAAATAAGAGAGGTCTGTAAACAGCAAAACTGAATAAATGCTATAAATGTTAGCACCCAAGACATAGTAAGGTAAAATATCTTAAAGGCTTTAAAAAGATTGAAAAAAATTAAGGCTGGTGGATGCGTTGCGACTGGAAAACTTGAAAGTGCTTTGATGTATAATGTTTGCATCTCTGCTTGATGATTGAAGAATGTTATTTTGAATGTAAAATATGGCATTCATTTATTACATCCACCTGGGAAAATATTGGGGAGATTTGTGATGTCCTTTTCTTCAATGTATTAATGGCTAAAAATATAAGGAATGCCTCTAACATTGCAATGCATCAGTTGGGAATGTGAACAAGTATGTTCTTTTGTATGCAGAATATGTAGTCTTGTTGGCTAAGAACCTCAATTATCTGAAGTGAATGTTGAATAATTTGCATAAGGTAGCAAACACAGGTCTGCAAAAAAAAATTCGAGAGCTATTTTGGTTATTCCACNCGGATTTTATTGCCTTGGTAGACAATATTATTTTTTTACTAAAGCAACTATATTTTCTTTCATTGGTGATGGATTTGCTGCCAACATGGCTGACTGGATGAGATAATGTCAACTTTACACCAACTTAAGGTAAGATTCTATTTATAGTTAAGCTATAGCTATATCATTTGATCCTTGCAAAGTCACATTAAAAAGTCTGTTGGTTACTATTTTTGGAAAAGCAAGCTGCTTTTTAACTGCAAGTTACAAAAAGTTGTTTTATAATCCCCTTATATGGCCAAAACATGCAGAAATAATTCATTGTGCCTGACATTAAACTTTGTCTAATATGTTTGAATGTTACTACTACTAATGCACTATTCATTAATTTAATCATGAAAGAATATTTAATAAATATTGATATTGATTCATTTTAAATAGTGCATAAACAATCCTTGGCCCACTGACACCTTTATATAAGTCTCATGCAAATGAATAGTACTTATCATTAGTAAGATGGGCACAGAATTTCCCTGTTCACATACTAAAACACAAAAAAAACAATAAACTTCAACCATCAGAAAGCATCATAATGGAAAATGGCAGGATGAAATCAAAATGTTGATTATAGCAGGAAGTGATAAATGTCCCAGCTGTTTAGATCTCTGCTGAACCTTTCTTGAACCACTATATGCAATTATATTATTGCGCTCATTTCAAGTAGCAACTTTTCACTTGTCATTAAAGAACAAAACACTGCCAGTTATATAATTTATTATGAGGCTTTTGGCATCATGGAAATAATTGTTTTAATTTTTTGCTTATTTGGCCATTTGTCTTAGGTTTAGACCATGGTGCAAGGAAATTGTATTTCTTTTCTTTCTTATCTGGAGTACATAATATAGTAATACATCTATTAAAGGTGAGGTTTAGGTTATGACTCCCTTACCAAAAATGGTAGATATTTGGATCACAAATATCTATTCCACTAATTTAGAGCTTGAACTTTGTATCCCTGAACAGAAGTGATTGTTCAAAATCCACCGTAATACACTTTTCAATCAATTATGGCTGTGATAAGGTTATATTCAAAGCATTTTCAATATTATAAATGTAGAAGCTTAAATATAAAATTCGGGATGTTCTTTTTCAAATAAAACTGCCTGTAAAGATTAGGAGGTGATGAAGACTGACTTGTCTTATGGCATACCATTAGAAAACTTTCAATTATATTGTGATTTAACTTTTGCTTGCTTGCCAGATCCAATATGCATTTTATTTGGGCTTGGTTGTCTAATTATTTTCATTTAAGTGAACGAGGCTAAACACCTTACTTTATCAGATTTTGTGGTTATTTTAAAAGCATTGACATATACAGCATGAGAATTTTTTCTTATCTAATATTTCATGGAGTTCTTTTGCACTCATTCATTTGCATTATTCCCAACTGACAGGAAATTAAGTATATTTTGCTGCCTTAACTGGACCTATAGATAATCTTTTTCATATTGGTGCATTATATTCAAATCTATATTATTTTGAAAAACAATTCCATCATTAGTTGAGATCAATAGCTATTGACAAATAAAATTAATGTGATATCCTCTGTGTATTTTTGTATGCTAACTCCAAATACCGCTTCAGAACAACTTCAAAATTCAAAATAATTAAATGACAAGAAACATTTTTTCTTAGAGTTTTATCATTATATTACACCAACTCAAATATTATCTGTATACATTAGCTGATTACAGTGGGATAGATAGCTTCCTTATGACATTGAATGTAACTTCTAACTGTCTGAAAAACATCGCTTGTCATATCAATTTTGGACTTTGCTTTACATAAAAATAACGTAATTTTGTTTACATTAATGTAGCCTGATAAAACTATGCATTTGTTCCTTCATAAGGGTGAACAACATTCTATATACATGAGGATTTTTAAATCACAAAAAATAGTGATATATTGCATTAAAATAATAAGATGGCCATTGTTAAGGCTATATAATTTTCATATTTCCCAAACCATTATTATAATGTTTTTAACAGGTTTTTGTCACTCATTTGTAAAGAGGGGTCTGAACTCATGCTCCTCCTTGTACCTAGAAAACATTAATTGTATATTTAGTATATTTACTAAATATCAGTACAAGAATGATTTTAAAAACATTTATATAGGCAATGTAACTTCCTACAATTCACTTAAACTCATAAATATGAGACCTAATAAGTCTAATAAGTTATTGAAGAGATTACATATTTCCCATGCTTTCTGCCCCACCAATAAGATCAAGCAAGCAGAGTTGGTGTTTTGGGTGTCTCAATAATGCCTTCTATTAAGTTTAAGTTTAAGTTTAAGTTTTATTTTATTTATATGCCGCCNATGAGTGATATCTGACATATATTGACAATAATACTCATTATTACATAGAAATTCTATGGTTTTTAATATGTAAATTGTCTAATGTTAGGTAAATGATTAAGGCAGCATAAAAACCAATTAGAGTAAATAGTAAAAAAGAAATGACGCAGGCAAAAATTTAAACATTCTGCAATTCAGCCACATAGAACTACAAATACATTGTCACATGTACTAAAATGTAAACACACACCCCAACCAGAAACAAAAATATACACAGTAAATAAAGTAAAAATTATACATAAAAAAGGGCATACAAGAGAAGAAACAGAAAGACAAACTAATTCACTTAGATTCACCAAATGCAGACTGCAACATTCAAGCATAACATAATACATAGATGGATACTCCTACTCCCATGCTCTAAAGTAGAAGGTAATGCATACATATATAGTGACAGTCGGACAAAAATAACGTATAGAGATGTATAGACTGCAGCAGCAAGAAAAAAAAAGATTGGTAAGCACAGGGTGATGAAATGTGTCAGAGAATTAAAAGGCAGAAGGCATGAGAAAGCAGAGGAAAGCAAGGCAGGGAGAGAGAGATTCATGAAAAATGGAGGCATGAGTTAAGGAAGATTATAAAAAAACCCAACTGCAAGCAGGACAGGCAATTAAAAAAAAGTAAGAGATATGAAAAACCATAGAGCATGGTGGAGAAGGAATGTAAAGATTGTTGAGACTGTGATTACAGTTAACCAATCAATATTACAGCTCCTTGATCATCTGTCCCAGCAATGCTGCTTTTGGGTAAGGTCACATTGGGAGATTGACTCAAGCCTATGTGTTTGGCATGATGCCCCCAAGAAGGGAGTTTTAGACTTCCTCTCTTTTATATGCAGAGACTACTCTTAGAATTTTTTTTAAAAATGCATTTCATCCCTAATATGTGATTTTTGTTTAACATTTAAGCAGCATGTCATACAAAGTTTGAAATATTACACATTTGAAATTACAGAGTAGTGATGAAGAAACATCAACCATAGAGTTGCATTTTATGACGAATATTAGATTACTGCTACTATTAACTTTCCCAACTTTTTCAATTTTCAAAGAACAGAAATAGGTATCTCAGTTTTTACTTTTGAAGACTAACATCCTTATATTCATAGGAGGCTCGCAGAAATACTCTACTAAAAGATACTATGAGGGAGCAATGCATTCCAAGTTTGGTTGAATCATGGTATCAAATCTTGCAAACATATCAATATACAAATTCAGAATTGACATGTCAGTGCCTTGAAGTAGTTGGAGCATATGTCTCTTGGATAGATTTGAGTCTAATTGCAAATGAAAGGTAATGCTCTTGTTGATTCAAAATTCACTAATGAACTTACTGGGTAATAAAACTAGTGAAATTTTAGGGTAACCATTTTTTTAAAAAGTTTTTTTTGTAATTGTTTGGAAAATTAGCCATTTTAAAATAATTGCTAGCTAACTAGCTAACAGTGAAACAGCTTGCAGTGAAACCTAATTTTAAAGAGCTATTTTTGAGGAGATTGTCTATTATTTCTGAATATCTGTTAAATATAACAGTATCTCATTGTGTCGATTTACAACAGTATAATTATAGCATTTTATGTTATTTGCATGTTATTATACAGATAGCATAAATTGACACAGATGCAAAGTTAAAGTAGAAGTAATGTAAATTTAACTACCTTATCCAGACTATCTCAGTGCAATGGACTTGTTGATGTATATAAGAATCTGGTAAATGAGGATTGTTAAAATGTGGTTTCACTTACACTAATACACACAGCTTTTGTATTTCTTATACAAGAATATAAGAATATAAGGCTGATAAAGTAAAATTTACTATCAATTTGTTTTTACTCAGAAAGCAAATTTTTTGTCTTTTTTTAAAGGTTTATAAATATGCTGCTAGGTCATATGTCCATAGAAGTTTTACGAGAGGAAGCATGTGACTGCTTGTTTGAAATTGTAAATAAGGGAATGGATCCAATTGATAAAACTAAGTTGGTAGAAACTTTGTGTCAAGTTTTGCAGTCTGCTGGCCTATTTATAGTTGATCAGGTTAGTTATTTTTAGTGAGAGAAATGTTACATTACTATAATTTGTATGACTGTTTGTGTCTTCAGTACTTGTAAAAGTCATTTGTGTTGTTTGCTGTAAACTGCAGTAGTTTAACTGTGCTTATGTGATAAAGCATTTCTTTTCATCTGTGGTAAGGCTCCCATTATCCAGCTTCAGTGTGTAATACTCTGTCTGTAATTTCTCCACATTGTATAATTTTATAAGATTGTCAGCTGAATAGATTTGGGTGGGGTGGGGTATTTAACTTTTTGCATTTTCACATGCTGACATTGTGTGTGTGTGAAAAGTATTCATGTGTAAAAGAATTGGGATACTGTAAATCCATAGATTTACCATAGCCATCATCATAAAACTCAATTTTTGCAAGTGGTCTTTGGGAAAATAAGAATAACAATGCTAACAGATTTTATTTATTGCCATTTCATCTAGTAAGTGCAACCAATATTGCTGTCTAAGTGATCATTTTGATCCCTAGTAATCTACTATAACAGAATCCATCAGAGATATTTTAATTTTTACATGGATATAATCTGTGTCTCAAATTGTTCATTTTTCTTTAAAAGTATTTAATTAATGTTTAACCTTTACAGGAAGAAGATGTAGACTTTCTAGCTAGATTTTCTAAACTGATAAATGGAATGGGGCAGGCATTGATAGCTAGCTGGTCTAAACTTGTGAAGATTGGAGATTTGAAAAATGCTCAAGATAGTCTACAAGCAATTGAAGCAAAAGTGGCTCTAATGCTACAGCTTTTGATTCATGAAGATGATGATATATCTTCAAATATAATAGGGTTCTGTTATGATTATCTGCACATATTGAAACAGGTAAATTTATGAAATTTTGCATTCTCAAAAGTCAATTTTTCCCTCAACTTTTTCAGCATTAATATGTGTACATTATTTGAGACATTTCAAAACTAGGCTTTGTTTCTTTTATTTTGTAGCTCCCTGTGCTTTCAGAACAACAAAAAGCTAACGTAGAGGTAAGAATAATGAAAAGCCTTTTTGAAGCTTTTTGTTTTTCTAGTCAATAAAACTGCCATGGGAAGCCATTTCAGATCTGCAGTAAAGCAAACATATTTTAACATTAAAATTGTAAATTCAAAAACTAAATAATCCCCAAATTTATTTAAATTCTTATCAGATAATAACTTTTTTTACTAACAAGTCATGAAATTATTATGTTTTTTTTTAATTTAGAGGAGGACCCCCTCCCCAAAATGCAGCTGCATGCCATTTTAATAATATAATAAAAGTAATGTTTTCCAGTGGTGAGTTGCTGCCGGCGTTACTGTTGGTTCGCTTCGTGCGAACGCTGCACATTGCTTATACATGCTCAGTTGCCTATAAATTGTTCTGTGCATGTGCAAAACATTATAAAATGACTAAAAAACATGCCAGCAATGACATGGGCAATCGGGAACTGGTACGGGTGCTGGGCTAGCCTGTCGTCCCTCCCAGTTTGGCGACCCAGTCCCAATTTCCATTACCGGTTCATCCGAACCGGTGCAAACCGGTAGCAACCCACCTCTGGTATTTTCTTTCACTGTCCTTCCATCACCAGTTGAACACAATGATTAATTAGGGGGGGAGGACCCTTCAAGTCATAGTTTTTAGCATTATGAGAGGAGAAGAAGAAGTTTATTTGTTGAGAGAGGGAGGGTAACATAAAAGAGAATGGTCAGGAGGGGAAGGGAAGATAAGTTTATTCTCAAAAAAATTATTATTTATTCTGATGTCCAAACCAGCTCAGTAAAAATATATAAATCAAATGCTAAACAGGGTTTATTTTAAGTTCTATGCAGCTGAATGTCTTGCACTTAAAATTACTATTTTTTTTCTTGCATTTATAATGGTATAATACAGTGATGGCTAATCTTTTCTGGACGAGTGTCCAAAGCATGCCCAAACCCAAAAATGCAATGCGCGTGGGTGCACCCCCTGCATACTCCCTGACCCTGTGCATGGTTGCACCCTTCTGCATGCATGCCCCCCACGCATGTACACACAGCCCCCTCCAAGCTCCCCTCCCACGCATGCATGGCAGAGCTGAACTGGGGCAACGGTTTGCGTGCCATCAGAGTGGGTGCTGTGTGCCACCTCTGGCACATGTGCCATAGGTTCACCATCATGGGTATAGTATAAAACAGTGGACATACAGATTGCTTTAAGAATATTTAATTACTTCTGCTCTGCATTATTTCTATTGAATCTTTCTCATGCTTTTATTATTTTAATAAATAGAAGCTTATATTAGATGATAATTTTATCACTGATTTATCTTTCTAGGCAATTATGCTGGCAGTAATGAAAAAATTAACATATGATGAAGAATACAACTTTGAAAATGAGGTTAGCAGTCACCCTTAAATAATTCATTGACAATTTCAGTTTTTGTGCTACCTGTTTCTTATTCCAGTTAGCTGTCTAGCTCCAGAAATCATAGTTTTGGACTAATCTGGATACTTTTTAGATACCCCATTATAACTTGTGCTGCACTGCTGCAAAATAAAATATAGCCACATTGTAGGTTCACAGTGGACTCATTAGTGCTCTTTCCCAGTCTTTCCCAGTGTTATTCCAGAGAGCTGAGAATGAAGGAGCATTCTTCAAAGCGTTGTAGACCTGTCCAAAATAGACTGAATATTTCAGCAAGAAGGATAATGACCATTGCAAAACAGTGCCCCAATGTTGTCATATGATTTTGAAGAATGTAACAGTTGACCAAGAATAATGAATATGGCTAGACAGTTTATATTGTATGTTTCCACTGACGGGCAAAACTGTCAGTACTGCATTGTATACAGTTTTGTTGTTACCGAAATGGCTAGTTTCTATTATTATGAAAAAGTAAAAAGTTGAGAGTAGATCTTAATGCCTTATTCAACTGCACCAAAGGAGTCAGAAGTCAATGCCTTCCCCCCTTCCTTTCCCCCACTATTCACTTCCCTTTGTCCTTCCCTAATTTCCCTAATATTTGCTTTTGTATTCTCTTTGTAGAATGTTATATTATAAACTAATAAAACAGTTTTGTCACTGACATTTTTCAGAATTTCAGGATATTGTTAAGCTCAAATGTTTATAAAGACTAATAACAGGAATTAGAAGCTATAATATGTAAAGCTTTTTTTGGAAAATTAGATTGATATATGCTTGTAAGTAGTCTTGAAAACTATGACTTTTTCATTAGTAAGTTTCTCATAAATGTGGAAACAACTTTAATGTAGATAATTATTTATTTTAACATTGTGATCTAAAACAAACTTTTAAATAATTTTCATAGGTGTTTTTTTAGAAATGAGAAGTATTTGATCCTTTGGGTTCTTTTCTTCTTCTATTTTACACCCACCACTCCATTCGCCTTCACGGCACAAGAGGTCAAGTTCCTGTTCCTACTTTAAAATAACAATAAAAGGAACAGGAACAACAGTCATTTTGGTGTAGTGGTTAAAGGTACCAGGCAGGAAATCAGTTCTTTCCTTCCTTAGCATAAGGCAAGAACAAATCACGTCTAAAAATGTGGTCAATAAAAGTATGTGGACTTGCCCACCTAGTCATCAGGAATCAAGAGTGAGACAAAAGGTAGTAAGAGTGAATGATGATAATAAACGCATTTATGTGGTTGCAATCTAGCAGGACTATTTTCACGGATAATAAGATTGCAGGCAACAAGGATGATGGATCTATTAATGTTGTTAATCATCTAGCAAGAAATGCCTTGTAATATCCAAATGTAAATTAGTATATTATGGAGCTAATCTGTTCATACTATCTATGTTGACAGGGTGAAGATGAAGCCATGTTTGTAGAATATCGGAAACAGCTAAAACTGTTGTTGGATAGACTTGCACAAGTCTCACCTGAATTACTATTAGTTTCTGTTCGCAGAGTTTTTAACACTACATTGCAGTAAGTTCCAAATGAATTTCTGATATTTTCATTTCTAGTAATTATGTAAATGCTTCTTTCTTTTTAGTGACAATTTCCATTGATACTTAAGACCTGTTTTCCAGTTGGTTGATTCATAATGACTACATTTTAGTAGCCAAAATCTGATTACTGGAACTATGATGTAGATAGGGATTTCATAGGGTTTTTTGCTATATAGATCCTTTGTTAATTGTTAATACATTTGCAAGTTTATTGGGTTCATTAACCTGAGTGGAAAAAAACACGTTAAAGGCAATACCTTTCTCCCACTGTGTCTCCATTGTGTTCTCCTGGAAGAAAGAAAAAGAAGTGCTTTCTAGTAAATGTCAGGGTTTCAAAAAACACCCCAATGAAATAAAATTCCGAGGCTTGTATTTCCTCAACGTTCCAATTTATTAGAGATGTCATGTTGGCACACCTGGGAAAACCCAAATCTGAAAGCTTCCAGGTTTTCCCACCCAGTTGAAAGTTCAAGATCCTGCCCCAACACCCACAAGTCCATCACATGGTGGTTCACTGCCACGAAGACAGATTCCTCCCATCCACATCCAGCCAGGTGCAGAGACAAAAGCAGCCTTGACTTTCTAAGAAGAATGTTATGAAGGCTACACATCACCCAACTCTGTATAATCTCCCCTCCCATTTTCCCACAGTGGAAAATGTGGCAGGCCTGAAGCCTAAAAAGAAAAGATCACTTGCAGGTCTGACAGTAAATTGGAAAGAATTACAATATTCTTTGGAGTATAAGACGCACCTTTTTCTCCCCAAAGAGAGGGTGAAAATCTGGATGCATCTTATACTCTGAATGTAGCCGCCTGGGTCGTCTGGAGAAGGGGAAGGGGAAGCGGGCACTGCACAGGAGGCGAGGCATAAGACAAGGTGGCTCACTGCTCGGACTCCCGCTTCTCCAGACAACCCAGTCGTCAGCTTCTGCTCCTAGCCCGGGAGATGGATCTGGCCAGGAGGAATACAAGCCCCATTTTTGCAATCGGGGACGAAAAAGAGCTTTTCAGGTGCCAGGAGATCCCTGCAGCCTGGAACTGCCCTCCAAAAAACTATGACAATAGCTTTTTCTGGAGACAAAGTGGAGATCTAGTGTCCTGAGAAAAGCCTTTGTGCAGAGGAGATTGTGCAGAAAAGCCTTTGTGCAGAGGAGATCCTCTTCCCTTGCGGCACCTCCCCACCCCAATCTGCCCGGATCTGTCACGCAGCAAAGAGATACGGTAATCCCTCTGGATCTGTCATGCAGTACTTATTGCTACTTGCTGCTATTAAGCCCAGCTACCGTATCTCTTTGCTACATGAGCGATTCAGGCGGATTTGGGTATGTGTGTGACAAGGCAGCCTTGTTTCCTTTATGCTTCCCTTTTGCTGCACACGCGCCACCGCGAGGAACCATTAATCCAAATGGAAGGGATTCCCACCCCTCTTCATCCAATGGGCCGTTCCCAGTCAAGCCCAGCAGCAGCCATTCAGCAGCCCCCGCATGTCTTTCCCTCCTCGCTGAAGAAAAGAAGCGAGCCGACTACTGCTCCTTGGGCCAAGCGGCTCACTGTCACCGCCAGTCCGAGGAAAGCGGTAAAAAAAAAGCACGGAGAGAGATTTTTAGTCCTTTCCTGCTATGGGAGAGGTAGAGAAAAGTGGATTTGAGATTGATAAAAGCCTTACTCTTTAAAAAGATCAAGCCCCCACACGTCACATTTTTACCCTCCCCGGCCCCAGAAGCACTTTGCAGGCCTCCCAAACTCTCTGCATGTCCTATTTTTCACAAAAAACGGGGCATGCAGATGGTTTGGGATACCTGTAAAATGCTCCTGGGAGCCGGGGAGGGAAAAAACTTTTTTAAAAATTTACCTCTTCAAAATCTTGGTGTGCCTTATACTCCGCTACGTCTTATACTCCGAAAAATACAGTAAGTGGTATCATCTTCAAAAACACTTGATAATTTAAAACACAAGCACAGAATTTTAATGTGGGGGAAAGAGGATTGAATATAACAATCAGGAAGAATTTATTTCATAATATAATGCCAAATTAAGTTTCTTCTTGTTCACAAGAAAAATACTTGAATAATCTTCCCTCTTTTAGGGTTCATATTCTGTAGTGTATACTATAGTAAAAATATATAGAGTTTATACCAAATTAATCAATTAAATTTCAAATTTTATAATCCATTATCACCATAAGCAACGACTAGTGACTTGGAGAAAGTTTATCCAAAAGATAAAAGAGAGGTTTGGAGAAGGCTAATGTAGTTGATAATCCCAGAAATTAATTGTTAATGCTTAATTTATTTGTTGATGAAACATTGATGTTTTTATAGGTATATTTAATTCAGCTGAATTCTAATAAATTATTCATAAAATAATTTTAGATTTTGTAAATTTGTTTTCTATCTATTCTTTCTTTTAGGAATTGGCAAACCAAACCATTTATGGAAGTAGAAGTAGCAATAAGATTGTTATACATGTTAGCTGAAGCTCTTCCAGTATCTCATAGCATTCACTTTACAGGTGATACAAAAGCTGGTGCTCTGCAAGATATGATGCGGACTGTAAGTGTGAATCAAAATCAGTGTAATTTGTTACAATTTTTATTTCAACAAAATTGACTCAGTCATTTTTCTCTTTTCCTTTTCTCTTTAGTTGGTTACATCAGGTATTAGCACCTACCAGCACACATCAGTAACTCTGGAATTCTTTGAGACTGTGGTCAGATATGAAAAATTTTTCTCTCTGGAACCTCAGCACATTCCGAATGTTTTAGTAAGTTCATACTCCCGTGCTTCCCCGAAAATATGACCTGTTCTGAAACTAACGCATGGCCATATTTTTGTGTGGGCAAAAATATAAGCCCACCCCCCAAAATAAGCCCCCTGGACAACCCCTCCCTCCGGCCAGGCAAAGCACCGCTCACCAACCTAGTGGTATCCTGAAGGCACCAAGCTGCGGCAGCTGGGGGGGGGGGAAGGCGCTCATGTTGCTTGGTGCCTTCGGGATACTGCTAGGTTGGGGAGTGGTGTTCTGCCTGGCCGGAGGGTGGAGTTGCCGGGTGGCTGCTCCCCTGCGAACTGGCTCCCGAAGAGCTGGGCATAGCCTCAGGGGTGAAGCAACCATGAGGTGACCACACTCACGAGCAGCCGCCCGTCAAACCCCCTCTCCAGCTGGGCAGAGCACCATTCACTGACCTAGGGGGTATCCCTAAGGCGCCAAGGCACATGCCGCTGTGCCCACTCCCCAGCTCCTGCGGCTTGGCACATTCGGGATACCCCCTAGGTCAGTGCATGGAGCTCTGCCTGGCTGGAGAAGGGGGTTGCGCAAGCGCCTGTTCCTCCCCCACCGCGCTCCGAGCATAACTTCTCCGGCTTCCAAACTCCGAAATGGCTCCCAAGTCTTCCAGCAGCGGCCGTACTAGGAGTGCTGGAAGACTCTGTCCGGAAGACTCTCTGTCCGGCAGCTGGCCCAGAACAATAGAGCGCACTCCTAGAGTGGCCGCTGCTGGAAGACTCAGCAGCCGAGTTTTGGAGTTTGGAAGCCGGAGAAGAAGTTATGCTCGGAGCGCGGCGGGGGGTCGCGCAACCCCCCTCTCCAGCTAGGCAGAGCTCCATGCACTGACCTAGGGGGTATCCCAAATGTGCCAAGCCATAGGAGCTGGGGAGTGGGCAGAGCACCATGTGCCTTGACACCTTAGGGATACCCCCTAGGTCAGTGAATGGCGCTCTGCCCGGCTGGAGAGGGAGTTTGCCGGGTGGTTGCTCGTGAGCATGGTCATCTCATGGCTGCTTCGCCCCTGAGGCTATGCCCGGCTCTTCAGGAGCCAGTTTGCAAGGGAGCAGCTGCCTGGCAATCCCAAAACAATAAGCCCTCCCCCTATAATAAGCCCAAGGCCATATTTCGTGGGGCAAAAGAAAATAAAACCCTGTCTTATTTTTGGGAAAACGTGGTAGGTAGCTTTTTATTTATGAAATTGTCCATAATATTGTATCTCTCTTTAAAATAATATTGAATAATATTGAAAATTAATAATAATAATATTCAATATTATTTTACTAATCAATTTGCCTCTTTTGGTTTGTTAGAAATTCAAATGGCTTAATTGTTCCCTTTTAATTGCAGATAGCATTCTTGGATCACAGAGGTCTTCGCCATACTAATCCAAAAGTACGAAGCAGAACAGCATACCTTTTTTCCAGATTTGTCAAATCCCTCAAGTAAGTTTAATGACAATTAAGTCATTTAATAAAAATGAATATTCTGAATAGAATATGATGGGTTTGTTACATAAAGGAGACTTAAATACACTCAAAAGGATGTTTCTCCAGCCCAAATAATAGAAGCATTTCTTAATTTTAAATTCATTTTAATTTCATTTTTACCTCCAAAGACCAAAATCATTAATTTATAATTTATCTTTCTCTTCAACTATAAATTATTTTGAAATCTATGCATACTGTAGTGGTATAATTATAAACCATGATTTTCTTATCTCCATATCAATGACAATTGAATGTGATATTGTTGAATTTTAATATTGGAGCTATTTAACATATTTGTAAGTGTGTAATATGGTTAACATTCTTATCCTTTAGTAAACAAATGAACCCTTTTATTGAAGATGTATTGAACAGAATACAAGACCTGTTAGAGCTTTCTCCACCTGTGAGTATTTTGTATTACCTTTAATGAAGACTACAGACTTGTGGACTGCTGAAGGAGGGAGGGAGAGCTTCGTTTACTGAGTTGCCTCTTAAAGAGTTGGAGATAGTTAAAGGAATTTAAGAACTACAATGGATCTTTTCTCTGAAAACTCAAGGTGGCAGATCTCCCCTTGTATTATCTCCATAATATAGCCTATTGGTTGAACTAAGAGAATGTGGTTGTCTTGTAATCATCTTATGAACTCTGTAAATAAGAATGGACTTGAAACTGGATCTCCCTCCCTCAAGCCAAGTACCTTAAACTCTGCTTTCATATTGGCTTCTAATATATACATATATTTGATTTATAAGTTCATGAAGTAAGAACATTATCTCAGATTAGCCACATATGATATGTTTGATTTGTTCTTTCAATTATCATAGAATATGTCAGGTCTGTACTTCATCTGAAGTGAGCCTGATGGTCCTGGATCCAGGCTTAAATTTTTACTTATGTTTTATAAAAATAGAAGATACTCACAAGTTCAGTTGGTATCTTAGTTTAGTCTGTTTTAAGATAAAAGTAAGAAGATGAAAATAACTGGAGATTGTCTTGACTTTGCTGGAGTAGCACATTTTATGTTCCCGATTCTTAAAAACACTAGATGACTCCTTCAAGTAATCGCTAGAGAGTAAAATATAAGAAATGCTAAAATAGGAATGAGGTTTATTTATACAATAATTTGGCAACTGGTTTAAGAACTCTGAAAACTCTGCCTTGATAGTTGGGAGAATGCTGATATTCCCTTGCACAAAAAGAGAAAGATAGCAAATAGAAGGCAGAAACATCATAGACATCGTTTCTTTACATTGTTTAACTTGAGTAGGTCATGGAGAAATTTACCTATGTGATAGATTCCATGTTGTTGTAATTTCTGATTTAAAAAAGTTGAAAGTGCACAGGGTTGAACAGTAGGGAGATTTGTATAGGTATGTAGTTTAAAGGTCTGTTGTTGATTATAAGAACAGTTTATAGGGAAAATGTTTGTTTGAAAATAGATGCAATACTTAGCAAATGGTTCAACACTAACCAGCAGAAGGCAAGGGTGTGTGATGTTTTCCTTGCTTAATATATTTATAGAGAAATGTATGAAGAATGATTATGGTGACCGTAGAGATGTGTTGGTTGGGGTTGCAAGTGCATGTGTACTGTTAAGACTGGGTTCAGGTTATACATCAATGGAAAAAATAGAAGAAGTATATGAATTTGAATATTTTGGTAGAATATTAATTAAATGGGAAAATGGATGGAGAATTTTTAATATTTAAAAATGTCATAAAATTGCTTGATAGTCTGTTCTGAATGATTGTTGAAATAAACCAAAATGATTGTGTATAAGTATATCCTTCTGCCTATGGTATTACATGCCAGTAAAAATTGGGTATGTCAGAGAAACATAAAAGTAAATTGAATGTGGTAGAAATGTTTCTTGATAAAACAAGAATACATAGTGCTGAATGAAGATATGCACATCTAGTATAAAAACAGTATTTTCAGGTGTTTATATACAGTGAATTAACAAGAATCAAACTGCAAAAGAAACATATAAAAAGTTAGTATTGTGAGGTGGGTTGCCCTATAAATCAGATGAATAAATAGAAAATGGGTCAAGAGGGTAAGATCAAGGACGATGTAGATGAATGAAATTGGTAAGATTCTCAGGAAGATTGGGAGAAGTTTAAAGAACAAAAAGCAATATTTGAAGCAGGTCAAGGTGAAACCAAGTATGATTTGCAAGGACAAAAAGATGTAGAAGGTAATGGTGAATGGTATTTCTATAAATATCTATGTCTCTCTGTGTGTGCACATGTATGACTTTGAGTCAGTGTTGATTTCTGATGACTGTCTGGACAAATCTCTGCAGTTTTCTTGGTACGATTTTCGGAAGTGATTTGTTCCTGCATTCTTCCTAAGGACTGGCTCAAGGTCACTTAAGCAAGAATTGTCAAATGTCCATTTTAAACTTATTGTATCAAGATTTCTTTATTTAGTTTCTAATAGCAGTGATTATGGATGACATATAAAAATTAAATGCACCACAATACCACATAACAATGACACCCTGGTTAATCCCCAAAGAAAAAAGGCACAAAGATGGCATTCTTTGATGGGGAAGATCCCTACTACATTTGATGGAGCAGGCAGAATTAATGGAGATAGGAAACAAATGGCCTGGTCCCATGCCAATCTAGCTCAATGAGTAGCAGTGATATATGAAAGTATTGAGATACACTAAAACTGATCTCAATTTTACAGGATTATAGCCTCAATCCATAATACATCAATAGAGTATTGAAATGTAATATTTATATAATTAAGTTACTATAATTAGAACATGCAGTTGGAAGGGGGTGTTTTTAAAGAAAGCATAGCTACACAGGTTAACAATCATACAGCATTTGGGGCAAGATGATTTAGGATGTTCTGTGCAATTTAGATTGGTTTGGGATTTTGTTATAAAACTTGGGGAGACTGTAGAACTCGGCAAGCAGAATAATTAGAAAATTACACTAATTCTAGGAGAAAATGTTTAATGTTGAACAGAACACTCTTCTTTTTTCTTGGTTCCAGGAGAATGGCTACCAGGCTTTATTAACCAGTGATGATCAACTCTTTATTTATGAGACTGCAGGAGTATTAATTGTGAACAGTGAATACTCTACAGAACGTAAGCAGTCTTTAATGAGGAACCTCTTGACTCCTCTAATGGAGAGATTCAAAGTGCTGCTAGAAAAGCTTGTGATGTCACAAGATGAAGACAGGCAGATGGCATTAGCTGATTGCCTAAATCATGCTGTAGGCTTTGCAAGGTAGGATTTGTGGAGCCTGTTTGAATTATATTTAAAAGCAGTGTAGTTGTCATCATAAAAATATCTAGTTAGAACTAGACTTCTTTTTACATTTAGTTAATTATTACTTCAGCTCTTCCCTTCAAGGTGTTCTACCTACACTTAGCTTGGACAACCTCTGCAAAAAGATATTATGATAGATGCTAGTGAAAGCCACTGAGTAGTCCAGGAGAATTAAGAAGGCTACTGTCCTCCATCAGTTTTCTGATGGAATTTTAATTATGTACCTTTATTTTTAAATTTTAAAGATTTTTTATCTGTCTGTAAGCCGCCCAGAGTTCCTAGGGAGCGGGCGGCATACAAATTTTATTAAATTGGAAAATTGGAAATTGATAAAAATCATCTATTGGGTTAACATGGCTGTGCTCAAACCCAGCTGAAATGGAACTAGGAAACCTATTTCCCCCAGAAGTATCTGGTTCTAAACAGCCATCGCACACTGACACTTCTTGCCCAGAAAGTCTTATGTTGGCTATAATTATAATGATAAAGAGTTTATTGGCTATAATTATAATAAAATAAGGCTATAATTGTTCAGATATTCTGAATTCAATGAAATTTTAGTACATCTTGTTCAGAGAAATTTATATTGTCCTGAACCAAGCTGAGTACCTCTTTGCTGCTACTGTATATGAAATAAATCATTGAGGTAAAGGGGAGGAGAATCCAAATTATCATTTCAAATAACTCATCCTAGAAAACTATTTTATATGGCATACCAAAATCATAGTGTAATATATCTTTTTTTATTTGCATAGCCGTACTAGCAAAGCTTTCAGCAACAAGCAGACAGTCAAACAATGTGGATGCTCAGAAGTGTATCTGGACTGCTTACAAACATTTCTACCAGCTCTTAGCTGCCCCTTGCAGAAGGAAGTTCTTAGAAGTGGTGTACGAACCTTTCTTCACCGAATGATTATTTGTTTAGAGGAAGAAGTTCTTCCATTCATTCCTTCAGCCTCTGAACATATGCTCAAGGATTGTGAAGCAAAAGATCTTCAAGAATTTATTCCCCTCATAAACCAGATCACAGCAAAGTTTAAGGTAAGAGTCTATCTTAAATGTTGCAGCCTTTTTGTATCTACTGATCATTTCAAATTTAATAAAATAGTTGCTCTGAGGAAAACCCATTTTTAAAAATGGCTATTACGTTGGTTACAGCTAGTTACAAAAACTCCTTTTCATATAATAATAATCCTAAAAGAAAAATTGCCAGTTAGAATGCATGGCACATATGGCACCTGACCTTCATATATTATCAAAATACAAAACGTCTATTCTGAATCCACCATTTCTTGCTGTTGTGACTAGATGAGAAACAATTAGTAAATTTCATGAGTATCTTGCAATGCTTCCACATTGAAGACTTGAAGACTGAAACCCACTGCGAACCATGATGTTAGTGTCCAGGATGTCCTGGAAATCACAATGTTTCCAGCTTTGCTTGATTATAATAATAAACTGTTAACTCATAAATAGGAAATGACTGAAGAGTACAAAGTTAATATAAGCCATAAAGTTACAGCTGAACTTAATTTTATGGAGCAGTGACAGATTCTATTTTAATAACTTTTTCCATTTTTGTTATTGTAATGTATTTGCTCATCATAAACTTAATTAGCCATATTTTTCATATATATATAGACCCAGGTCTCCCCATTTCTCCAGCAAATGTTTATGCCATTACTGCAAGCTATTTTTGAAGTATTGCACCAACCTGCTGAAGATAATGACCAATCTGCTGCTTTAGAAAAGCAAATGCTGCGAAGGAGTTACTTTGCCTTCCTACAAACAGTCACTGGCAGTGGAATGAGTGAAGTCATAGCAAATCAGGGTAAGATAAGAGTTCATTTTCAAACAGATACTTTAATTGTAATAAAATTAGAAAACTGGGGATGGGGAATGCTCTTGTCATCAATTTTCTTTGTTAGGAGGCACAGTTTATGAATGACAACTTCCTCAAAATAAATGTATTTACATTTATGGTATTTGTATTGCTAGATTGCAAATTATTATTTTTTCTATACAACAGCTTTTCTAAATAGTCTTTAGAGGTTGTTATTTTATGTGTTAGCACGCAGAAAGGAAAGAGTGAGGGGGAAAGAATATTTAAAAACTATACATGTATGTGTGAATATATACCGTATTTTTTGGACTATAAGACGCACCTTAGTTTTTGGGAAGGAAAACAAGAAAGAAAATCATTTATAGAGGAGACATAAGAAGACATTTGGAAATTTCCCTGGATTACCTAAAAGAGCTAAATTGACTATTTGTGGGATATAAAGAACTATATTACTGTATTCCTGGAGGAGCAATAACAGGACTGAGTAAATGCTTTCCAGATCGACTCTGTGAAGGCAAAGATAATTGAGGCTTTGGGGCAGTGATAGACCATTGACAGACTAATGAGTGATATTTAGACTTACCCAAAAAAGAAGGCAAGATGTTTCAGCAGGGGGAAATAAGCAGGTTGCAAAAAGAATTGGTGATGATGTTCCAAAGCATTTATGATTCTATGACAAGGAATCACAGGGAGAGAATGGATTTAATCAATAATATAAATGGGGAGCTAGAAAGTGCTTCACAGGGGATAATGATCAAAAAGCCCAGGAAATAGAGGAGATAATAGGGAGACCAGGGGAAAGAAAGAATGGACAAATCAGCAAACAAAATAAGAAGATAAGAAGGAAAAAGTAATAAAAATTAGTGAAGCAATTCAGGGAAAGTATATGCTAAAAGGCCAAAAAATGATTTTGGATAAATAGAAAGATATTTTTGAAAAGAAAATGGAAAATTGGGCAGATCCTCTGGAGGCTTGGTAGCGAAAGATAGTAGACATGGAAGAAATACTAAAGTTAAACAGGAAAGATGTAGGTAGAGAAGAAGACCCAGGGGAGGAATTTGGGAGGCAAGTAAAAAATTGAATAAGAATTGAGACATTAAAATAGGCAGGAAATGATGGATAGAGGAAATGTTTTGTAACACAAGATTGGCATTATCAGGAGCTAGAATAGAGGCAAATACAAGAAATAGGGGGAATAATAATATGCATATTTTATATAATATATTAAAAGTAAAGTTAGATAAAATATTAGATGGTGAAAGATGGTGACACTATATGTCTTAATGATATTGCTATTGTTATTAGAATGGGGGATTAAAATGTTGAACAATTAAATAAGGCCTATATTTTAACAGAAATGTGTATAATAACATTTACAATTATATATGTATGACTTAAATAACAAATAATATTAATATTATCACTACTACTTGTATTCAAAGAAATGATACCCAGATGCCTCACTGTTCATGTATTGATATTGATGTATATTTTTAAAAAAATTAAAAAAAGTTTTTTTTTAAAAAAAACTGCTAAGTGGGCAGGAGCCGGGGTAAGGATGGGGCCTCACACCATTGTATGTTGCTCAGTGTCTTAACCACTGAGCCTCTGCACACCCGCAGTTTAATATTATTTGTACTTTATGACCTATAACTATTTATATAAAAGAGATTTATCTGCAGTTTTCAAAACAGAATTATCCCAAAATGTAAGTTTATTATTTGAATAAGGCTGAAAATTAGGATTTGTAATTCTGGAAGCACAATATGATTAACATTAAAAGAGAAGCAAGTCCTAGATGATACAGTGAATAATTTAGAACAGTATTGAACTGAACTATTTAATAATATAGATGCAGTTCTTAAATTTATTTTTGTATGTTGTTGAAGGAGGGAAATTTGGCATCCATTTATATGTAGAAAACATCTGTCTTTATAAATATTTTTTATGATTCAGAAGAATTAATTACATACTACTAAATTATACTGTTTCTCTTGATTCTAGGTGCAGAGAATGTAGAGCGTGTACTGTTTACAATCATCCAAGGAGCAGTTGACTATCCTGATCCTATTGCTCAGAAAACGTGCTTTATTATTCTTTCAAAATTGGTGGAACTTTGGGGTAAGCCTCCATTCATATTTTAGTGGTTTAAACTGAATGCATGTTTACTATGTGCTTTCAAATCAGCGTGTTTGAAATATGCTGATAGAAGATTAGTATAATGCACTATTGCATGCCTATTTACTAAATAGTTGATGAACGAATTGATAAGAACACTCATATTTTTTTAGGAGGCAAAGATGGACCTGTGGGTTTTGCTGACTTTGTCTATAAACATATTGTTCCTGCTTGTTTCTTAGCACCTTTGAAACAAACATTTGACTTAGCAGATGCACAGACAGTATTGGTAGGTATTCTATCAACTGATTTTATTGACAAGTTGCTGAATGTGTCTATTGGTAATTTACCTGGAGTTAAATGAAAACTAGGAATCTTGAATAACATTTGTTGCCCAGAATATATGGCGGTCAATTTTCATGACCTCTGAATTCTGCCCAAATGCAAAAGCTTAAAGAGTTATCTCAAAGTATTCTAGGTTTCCATATTTTTTGTGTATGAAGTATATTCACAACTACTGCTATTAGTAGCATTAAAATACTCTTAAGGACTTCTGCTGAATTTCAAACTGCCAAGTTTGGGATCCAGATCTCACCAGGGTTTCTTTGTAGACTAAACCCTGCTCAAAAAACATTGGGCTTTATGTTAAAATGATATTCCTGATTCATAGAAATTAAATTTCCACCTCAAAGCATGGCTCCAAAGACCTAGACAGCCCTTTATCTGGAAGATTTTATAATCTGATGGTAGAATTTCCATCTGAATAGATGAAACAGATGGCTGCCATAGAAACACATATAAAGTTGTTTAATAGCTTAGATTTTTTAAAGTAGAACACATCATTTTTCACATAATTTGTACTAGTCCCCTAAAACATAAATTACAAACATTTACACTATAATATTCAAATATTTGAATTGAAATCCCTTTGTTTTATTTTAATAGGCTTTATCAGAATGTGCAGTGACATTAAAAACAATTCATCTCAAAAGGGTAAGAATCCTGAAAATAATAGTTTATTTGAAACTTGTCTTACTCGGGAATTTTGGATTATTTATTTTGACAGTTTGCTCTCCGTTAATTTTATTTTGTTCTGACAATAGCACCATCAGACATTTCCAATCTTTCACAATTATTAAAAGTGACTGAAATGTCTTTTCATTTGTTTTTGTAGTGTTCAGTCTTGATTGGCATTATTAATATATAATCTTTTTCCATTTCCATTTTTATTAGTTTATAATTTAAAATACAAGAATACAAAAGCAAATAGTAGGAAAAATAGGGCAGGAAAAAGGGAAAAGGGAGGAAAGCCTCCAGAGACTGGGGAGGGATTGTACGTACATGTGTAAGGGGGGAGGTCGCATGCACAAGTGGGCGGGGAGGATTGATTTGGTGTAGGCACGCGTGCGTGCGCAATAGTGCACACGCACACAATTGTGGCATGCCATAAGAAAAAGGTTCGCCATCATTGGTATATAAATATTGTTTTTTGAGGTTTTAAAGCACAAAGGCAGTTAGTTATTTCTTGATTATTAAATGAAGGAGCACCTGACAGTAAGTCTTTTTCCATTATACTAAAGAAAAGTTTTTGATTTTATATTTATATTCACTTTAAGAATTTTCTGTATTAGAATATGAATCCTACTCCAATATTTCCTTGTTTTATCACGTCTACCATAAATGATAAAAACTTCCTTTTTTACATTTACATAGCCAACATTCATTTGAAATACCTTTATATATTCTTGATAACTTGTCTGTTGTTATATACCAATGGTACATCATTTTAAAGAAATTTCCTTTTAAATTATAATTTAGTGTAAATTTTAAAACTTTCATCCATATATTCTCCCATTGTTCAAGCATTATATTATATTGAAAGTTCCTTGCCCACTGAACTATATAATAATATACATATTCACTTTCCAAATTCGCATTCAATAACATTTTATAGACCTTAGCAATAATACATTCATCACTACCATACAGTGAAATTTCCAATTCATTTTTAATAAAGTCAAACCCATAATTATTTTTGTCTTATTTAAATATTTCAGTTGTAAATATGTAAACCAGTGGCAGACATGTCCTTCTGATTCTAGCTCTTCCTTAGACTTGAGGGTAGGATCACCAGAATTGAAAGATATTATTTTATCATGTTCACCAGTTCGACTTCATCACCATTTCTTTTCTAAAAAAGGCTTCCTGGGAGGACACTTAAAGAGGCATCTTTGGGGTGGGGAGGAACCCTTGTTTTATATTTATTCAAAACTCTTAGAATGGCATGTCTAGCAAAATGATTGTTGAAATCAACATTTACTTTAACCTTGTCCTATCATAAATAACTCTGTCATCCAAATCTTAATTCATGACCTTCTAGATCAAACAGCCCCTTATTCTGGAGATCCACCCACTTTTAGTCAAAATACAGTTTTAAACCTGGTAAACCCAACCCCCCTCTTTCCTTAACATCTTGCAATAGTTTATATCTAATTCTTGGTTTTTTCCCTTGCCACATAAACTTAGAAATGTCCATCTGCCATTGTTTAAATGGAGTATCAATTGCAAGTATTGGTAACATATGAAACAGAAAGAGCATCTTTGGTAAGACATTCATCTTATAGAAATTCTACCCAATAGTGATAAATGCATTTTATCCCATCTTAATAAATCATTTTTGAGATCATTCCAAAGAAGCACATAGTTATTTTGAAACAGTTTTGTGTTTGTATTTGTCAATATGACCTCAAATATTTCACCTTTTTCTCAATCCTAAAACCAGACTTTCTGGTCAATATATCACATTCCTGAGAGATCATATTCTTGATAAGTATTGTTGTTTTCTGTTTATTTTAAAACCCAGTAAAACTCCAAACTCATTTGGTTTCAAATATATCATTTAGTTTTCTCATCAAATATTATGTATTATTTTTTGGGTCTTGTAGGAATATAACCAAATCATCAGCAAATGCCCTCAATTTATATACCTCCTTCTTGATACTCATGCCTGTTATTTACTCGTATTGTCTAATATCTCTATTCAACACCAAAATAAACAACAAGGGAAACAGAGTACATCCTGGTCTTTTGAACTTCACCTAAATTGGTTAAGTCACCAATAGTAACAATTTTTGCTTGCTAGGAGGTATAAATCGCTTTAACCCCATAAATAAAATTCTCTCCAAAGTTCATTTCTTCCAGGACTTTAAACATAAAAGCCCAATTTAGATTGTCAAAGGCCTTCTGGGGGAATATTAAAGCTATCTGTCTTTTTATTACAATATTGTAAATATTCAATGATATTCAAAACAGTCCTCACATTGTCCCTTAACTGTCTTTCTGGCAGAAAGCCAGGCTGATCTTCATGAATATATATGCCTATAAAAACCTTCTTTAATCTTTCTGCCAAAACTGCAGCAAAAAGTTTATAGTCATTGTTTAATAATGAGATTAGTCTATAATTCTTTATCTTTGCAACATCTTTACCTTCCTTCGGTAGCAATGCAATATTGGCTACTTTCCAGGTTTGAGGTATTCTTCCTTCCTGTAATATCATTCATTGTATCGTTTAGTGGCTGAAGAAGTTCATCTTCGAAGAATTTAAAATATTGGTTTGTAAGACCGTCTCTGGACCTGGAGTTTTTTTAGAGACTTAATTTATAATCTTGTCAACATGGTGTAATGAAGTAAAATTGAGGAGATTTGAAATAATACAATATCTAATCACTGTCACTCTTTTCTAGGGGCTTGAATGTATCCAGTATTTGCAACAGAAATATCTCCCTTCCTTGCAAGTAGCCCCTGAAATAATACAGGTTAGATTTTTTTTAAATCCAGTGCATGTGGCTTTGGCAATAGATAGACATATTCTGAAGCTGATCTAGTTTTAAAATGTTCTAAGTGTTACAGAGTTTTTCATTTGAGAAGTATCAGCTCAAGTGATTACAAGGTTTCTGATCTTTGGAACAATGTATTAATCTGAGTTTTTAAGAACCCAATACTAACTATCCAAATAGAAAATGAAATTACATGAAAACTTGTAATAAATACCCTAAAATTCATGCAGCACTATTTGATAGTGATTATGACTTTTATTCAGATTTTTGCCCTCTGCCGCCTCTTATTGAACTAATTGGTGTAAATATGGATAGTGTGTTCTTATCTGCTATTTGTACCAATTGGATTACTGAGAATTGGTTATATTTTGCATTTAGTATTAGAGGTGTACTGCCATAGCAAGCAGCAGCATCTAATCAATCCTGGTTCTTCTTGAAAAAGGTAAGATTGCAACAGATTGGATAATTTTCAAGTATATATTTTTCTAATTTAGAATTCTTGAAATATGTTTTTCATATAGGAGTTCTGTCAAGCACTTCAGCAGCCTGATGCTAAAGTTTTTAAAAACTACTTAAAGGTAGGTTAAATTCATACTTACATTTTGACTTTCAAGAGTCTTGAACACTTGTAAAAATGAAAAATAGCACATGAACTGTATGGTGAATATTTAAGCAATTCAGCTATGCTTTTTGTCTCTGATACTTTCTCTCTGCCTTTGTTGTCTTTGTATGCATATTGCTCTTGAAAAAGGTGAAACTCAGTGAGATGAAGATGATTATATGAATAACTGCTTCATAATAACATGCTATAGATGTACCAATGTGGTTCAACTCATTATAATATATTTTTTGTAGAAAGTGATGTGCATGTCAATACAGAAGCTTTCTTGTATCACATGAAGAGGTGTTTCATATGGTTTAAAAATAGTCATACAAGCCTCATTACAAGTTATGAGATAGGTCACCCTATCTCTGTGGGTGGATGCTCAGATTCACATGTTCAGCAGGTTAGCAAGGAAGGATCCAAATCACATAAACCTGTATCTGAAGAACATATAGATGCTTCTTTGTAGACATTCGAATACACAAAATATTTAGGGCTGTGTGAGACTGGAGGTTTCTTACTTCAACGTATGTGAAATTCCTACAGAGAATTTCAAAAGAATTGTTTATAAAGAAAACTCATTGACAGGTTTTCGACTTACAAAATTTTATGTTGATATTAGACTTACAAGGGAGCCAATTTTAGTAGATTAAGGATAGATGAATAATAGAAGTCAATTTCACTCACTATGTCCTCAACATCTGAACTGGAATTTCTTTTTGTCTATCTTGGTTTTAATAAATCTAAGGAAGAGTTTAAATCGGTCTTGTACAATTAGACAATTGTACAATTAGGTTATTATTTAAATTTTATCTAACACAATTAAATGCACATCATATTTTAGTTCTAAATGGTATTTAAGAAATTACTGATTATTACCATTTACAAATGTATTTGTTCATAGTGCATTATATTAAGTCCATAATTAAATGTATAACACCAAAATACTGCAACACTTTCTTGGAAGGATAAACGTGTTTTTAAGGTTATATATGAAGATTATTAGTTTTTGGTGTTATGAATCGATAGATTGAAATACTATATCCTGCCAAAGTTGGATGTTCTGTGCCAACTTACTGCCTTCCATTATATCTAAGAAATTTGATGTAGTGTTCTAAATTTGCTTCTGTCATTAGTACAGCCCCTTTCTATTTGATTTTTTTCAGGTTTTTTTTAACTCATGATATATTTTCTTAAACAGGTATTCTTTCAAAGAGCAAAACCTTGAGGAATCTACTGGAATTTCTGCTTGTCTTCCTTAATCAGGAACTCCAAATATTAATTTATAGGAATGCTAACTTCTGTGCCATTCAAATTTTTTTTTTTAGTTTATCTCTGCATAAATCGGATGTGTATTAGCCTTTTTACATAATACAGGAGAATTGCCTATACTTTGCTGGTTGATGCACATAAAGGCATAAAGATAACCTAAGGTGCCTGATTACCTGTTTCAAACAGTACATTGGATAACTATAAGTTGTAATTAAAAAAGCAAAAATGAAAGGCTTTTTCATTTTAAAATTAAACAGTGTATATAAATTCCAAATTACATAGAAATGGTTATAAATTATGTACATTTTAAAATAAATATGTGCATATTAGAAGCAAGATTCATTTGTTCATGTATTGTGGAATAAAATAAAAGAAACTCTATTTGTAGATAGATTTTTCTTTGAATGGACTAAACAGAAATCAAAACCGTTATTAATTAGATTGATAAGAAATATATGTGGCACTACCTTTTTATACAAATAAATAAACATTATTCAATGAAATTGTTAAATTGTCTTAAATTATTTTTATATATTGGCCATTAAGTCAGCTGTTTGTGTACTAAATAGAATTGTTGTTTAACTTTTTTCAAAAACTGGTATCTGAACAGAATTTTTATATTTATTTTAGAAGCTCTGTAAACAAATTAATGAAGGACACAATTTATCTTGGGTGCATACAGCTATATTTACAATACTCAATAAAATTTTCTTCTAGTTATGTGTCATACTTTCTGTTTTGAGAATTCCATATTGTTTAATTTTTTTTCCCTGGGCCCAGTCTATTAGGGAATGATCTAAAGGAGGAACCGCACATTCCAGAGTTCCCTGGACTTTTAGAATGGATTGTTAACATATTCCCTTGCCTTTTTTTACTCAATGTCTCTTTACCATCCTAGTTGCTTTTCAGAGCAGGATCCTAAGGATGCTTTCAAAGAAGAGATGATGGGGCTCTGCTAAAGCAAAGTTCTGGTCATCTCCTTAACATTCTAGTCCAACATATAACTACAGAAAGCTATGAGACCTTTCATCCGGCACCTTGTCCTAGCATTTTACTCAGTATAATTAGGTTTTCACCTATGATTTTTTGATTTTATGATTCACTCCATGATTTTTTTCTTTTATGGGCAAGAAGTTCTATTAAATAATCTGTTTTCTGAGCCCTTCCACTACTTGTGACATTTTTAACAAAAGCTTTATTCTGTTTTGATATTCCTATAACTAAAAATAATACTTTTATTTTCAAAGGATTATGATTTCCAGCTAGATGTTTCCCTGAAGCCATTGCTGCATTGTATTTACTGCAGATAAAGCACAATACTACAGTTGGATAACCAGTCATTGTAAAAACCATTGAAAAGTTCTTTTAATTGTAAAGACAGTTGTGTTAGTTGTTGCACTACTGCAGTGAAATGACCCAGAAGATTATTAATATTGCCTGAAGGACTAAGGCTGCCAAAGTCCTTCGGGATAAGGCTGATAAGCACCCACCTTCTTTGAAAACGTTGCCAAAGACTTAATTGGCAATTAGCTTGCAAGGCCACACGAAGCAAAGAGTCAAAACGTATCTTCAGAAGGTAAACTGACCAGCATGAACCAAGTTGCTTCCTGCAAATGTGCATTTGCTCCTCCTTTAGGTCCTATGGGAGGGGCAAATCACCTCCAAACCTTACTCCCAAGTCATCATTTCCGTTTTAACTGTTCTTGCACATGCGCGCACTGGGAAAAGGAGGAGCCTGTTCCTCTGCCTCACTGCTGTCCGACTCTGGAGGCTTCAGAGGCAGCACATAACTCCCAGATGGCCCTGGCCCCCTCTGCCACCAGTGCAGAATCCTTCCTCAGACTCCAGCACTGGCCCATGTTCCTCACTGTAAATCAAGGACTACCTCTAGTTAGCTACCTTATTACATTGATTGCACTAAATCACTGCACTTTTTAATGTATGTCTGTCAACATCTTAGTTCTCATACTATGCATGGATTGCATACTACATGCATGGTAATATGAAATCATCAGCTCAATCATGACACTGTGCTGCTGGGAATTGGATGATCTGCAAATAACCATAGGTTGTTCCAGCTAAGACTGCAGAAAGGACTGACGTTAAAACAATTCTTACTACATCAAGGCCGGGGGGGAAATGAAATACCATCCTGTGTGAAAATGTTGGAAGAAGTGTCCTTCTGGGTTCAGCTCCAAGTGGGGAAAAAGACACTGGAAACAAGGAGGCTGCTTGGAAAGATGGTTTAATGGTAGACAGGATCACATGGCTTGAGTCCTTGAACAGAAAAGGTCATGCTTCAAGATGTTGGGTGAAGAAGAGAAAGAAGAAAGGGCTTGCTGGGTTTTTTAATACTCTTTTGGGCCCCACCTCTGTTTCCTGTTCCTGTGTAAGAGATGTATTCTGATTGGTTGTCAGACTCCCATGGGGCCATGCAGGGGCAACTCTCTAAGCTATGTTTTGAGTCTAAGTTTGAGTTTCTAGATGCCCTGTGGTGAGTGAGGTAAAGGGCTAATACTATCATGCTTTAATCCCATCACCCTGGAGTTGAAGGGGATGGGTCTTTGTTATGTAGAATAGACTGCCCCATGCTTTTTTAATGGCCCTTTAACAAAGGTGCAGACTATTAAGAATGAGTCTGTTTCCTTCCTAAAAACATACAATAGCAGAATTGGAAGGGAGTTTGGAGGTCTGGTCCAACACCCTGTCTAGGCAGGAAACCCTATACCATTTCAGACAAATGGCTATCCAACATCTTCTTAAAGACTTCCAGTGTTGCTGCATTTACAACTTCTGGAGGCAAGCTGTTCCACTGATTAATTGTTCTAACTATCAGGAAATTTCTCCTCAATTGTAAGTTGCTTCTCTCCTTGATTAGTTTCCACCCATTGCTTCTTGTTCTACCCTCAGGTGCTTTGGAGAATAGTTTGACTCCCTCTTCTTTGCGGC